AGAAATGTATTAGTATTATTGGTTTTATTTGGATTGAGTGAATTGCTTAGAGAAGAATAATACATATATTATTACTATCATTAGTATTATTTGGTACAAGTAAAAGTAACTATCACGTCCGGTGTCATGGCATGCATAAGGGTGGGTCCACAGCTACCCGTGTCGGAGCTACCGGTTCTATATTTTGACTTCAAGTAGTTGGACAATTATTAATTCAATCATTCATAATATCTAATGTCGTAATACAGGTAAATAAATTAGTGTTTTCTTAAACATTTGATTAATATTTCAATATAAATTTTAGATAAAATATTATTATTCTTTTATTATTAGTAATATTTAAAAATGTTTTTCAATAGGAATTAAATACTAGAGCAAAAGTATTTAATCTACCTTCTGGCACAGAAAAAGTGTAAAAGGGATTTTAGCAATTTTAATTAAGAATTTCTTTTTAGAAGATACAAAAATATATACTTCTTTCATCTTGTATTTTTATAGCGTACTTTATTAAAAATAATATTTTACATAATTTTAACAAAATATAAGAACAAAACGCAATTTTTTAAAATAATATTTAACCAAACCTTTAACGGGATATATTGCTACTTCAATACATGTATTTTGTTTGCAAACTTTTACTAATATCATTTAGTGTAGGTAACAACTCAAAGGGTTGGACGTAGTTAACTAAACTATACTAAACTATAGTTAACTATATTTTTAATAAATTAAAAAAACTAAACTACTTAATATAATATTTAATTGTATTGTTTAAGAGTTTAGTTTTAAAAAACTGAACTTATATCAATTAACTACTCACTGAACTGGATTTTGTATTCAAAAATTAAGCCTATTATTAACTACAACAGTAAATAAAATATTAAGACCAAACGCTCAACAAGACAGAACACTAAGGCCGAACTCCACCTCGAACCGAACGCTCAGACCGAACGCTATTACGACCGAACGCTAAGACCAAACGGTTATCAGTTGCGAAACTACATGATTCTGCAGAATTATGAACAACACCTAACCCAACTATTCCTAACCATTTTTACTAACTTTTAACACCCTTAATTCTTGTTTTATACTTGACTAAACTCATCTAAATGGTTCTGAACATTCCTACTATCATTTTAAAGTGATTAAGATCAAGTTTTGTCTTTTGAACATCAATTTCCACAACTTAAGGACCCAATTTCGATTTTTACCACTTCTAACATGTTCTAGTCTAGTTTTATGATCCTAACAGGTCACAAATGACTTGCCTAAGATGTCCCCACAGCCCAATTGTGCCCAAAACCCCTACTTCCCAAAATCACTACCTCACTTCCTCTCAAGTGACCCAAAATCCTTACAGAATACCAATTTTTCCATTCATTCACTGTTACAAAATGTCTCACAGCCCAAACGCATCAACATAGACATTATAGAATTTAAATACATCTCAAAACAATTTACATACATTACAATCCAGTTTCACAGTCATTCAACCCAACACATGCAACTAAGTCTTTCCAAATCAAAACACAATATCAACAGTCCAGCAGCACAACACTCAACATACAGTCATGCAACCAATTAAAGAAACATTCTAGCTCCGCTTACCTTGAAACTTCTTTGCTCAGCTCAAAGACCCGCAGCTCCAGTACCCCACACGCGAATAATCTAGACAACACCCTACAACCTGCAATACGATAACCAAGAACAGCTCTTAGAGCTAGAATGAACGGAGGAAAACATAAAGAAGGGTACATTAGGCACATGCAACTTGCCCTAGGTCCCAAACAGCGGGGAACAGTGAAGAGCTACTTACCCGCTGAAGAATGAAAATCTATTCGGATGGTTACGAAGTTCTCTACGCCGCGGTCACTTCAGCACCACCTAAACCAACATGCAATCACTAAACGTGAGGGAAAGGTAGAGAGAAAGCAGAGAGAAATGGAGGAACAAGCTTTTAAGAGAGAGAATGGAAAGCTGAGATAATGAACTCAGATCTGAAAAGTTCCTCCTAAGGTCATAGTGCCCTTAGTGTTATGGGTCTGACTACTTCAACATAAGGCCCAACTGTCATATATTTTTAGGCCTTACAATAACAACCATTATAGTAATAATATAGCCATTTTTCTTGTCTAACAAGCTATTTTTTCAATAACATAGCTACTTTTATTATCCAACACTTTATTGCACCCAAATAATACTAAATAACAGTAATAAATAATCATTACTCGTTTAATTTTAACTGCTTTAATTCCATTTGACATACTCTTGCTTTGGAGTGTGCCTTTATCCATACAAAAATTATTAAAGTCCTAGTTATGTAAGCTGAAAATAGATTCCATTTCTACTCTTAATTGTAGTAACATTTATTTGGATCAATTGTTGCATTTTATTGTATTTATTATTTGCTTTAGAGTTTCAACATTAAATTAATTTTAGTTTTGGTTTTTAAATGGTATAGACTATTAGGCGTTGTGAATTTAATGAAAATGCGTATTATTACCTGTATTATGACATCATATAAAAAAATATTAGCTAGATTGCAGTAATAATTGCCCAACAACGTGAAGTCAACATATAGAGCCGGTAGCTGCGGCACGGGTAGATGTGGACCCACCCTTATGCATGACACCTGGACGTGATAGCTACTTTTTTTTTGTCTTGTAACCAATGGTACTAATAATATGTGTATTATGATTGTCTAAACCATTTATTTATCTAGAGTTGTTAAAATGGGTCATTCGGCTTGATCCATCACAAGTTGGTCCCTTAATGAGTTAACTTAATTCGATTCATTTATCAGTGAGTTAAAAAATTTCAAATGTGGTCCGATCCACCACGAGTTGGTTCAATTAATTACAATATTTTTTAAATAAAAAAATTACAAACTTTCTAGTTAAATTTAAACAAATTTCACTCCTAACATGAATGTTTAATTAATTTTGAAAATAAGGAACTTAAATAATTTTTTCAAGTAAAAACAAAATAATAAAAAAATTATAAAATTAAAATTAAATTTTAATAAAATAAAATTAAGTAGTGGGTTGGTGGGCCCACCCGCGTGAGCCGGGTTTAAATGAACCGGGTTGAAATCTGACCCGCATAAAAAAGATACAATTTTTTCAAACTCAATCCGACTCAAATCCGTAGTGAGCCAGATTGGCCCGCGGGTTATGACCCATTTTAAGAGTTCTAATTGTACCCAAATAATACTAATAATAGATTACTACACTTTAATATACCCAACAACACCCATTATAGTATCCATTTTTCTTTACCAACAAGCTATTTTACCAATAACATAACAACTTTTATTATCCAGCAGTTTATTGCACCCAAATAATACTAACTTAATTTTAACTGCTTTTATTTCTATTTGACACACTCTTGCTTTGAAGTGTGCCTTTATACATAAAAAAATTATTAAAGTCATAGTTATGTAAGTCGAAATGGAATCCATTGTGTAGTAAATTTTATTTGGATCAATTGTTACAAATTATTGTATTTATTATTTGCTTTAGAGTTTAATAATTAAAATAAAATAAAGTTTTGAGATATTAAGGAGATATGTGAAAAGTATCAGTTTTTTATTTAGTTAGTTCTACATAAGGAAATCTCAGTACCGTTCCTACTNTTAAAATGGGTCATTCGGCTTGATCCATCACAAGTTGGTCCCTTAATGAGTTAACTTAATTCGATTCATTTATCAGTGAGTTAAAAAATTTCAAATGTGGTCCGATCCACCACGAGTTGGTTCAATTAATTACAATATTTTTTAAATAAAAAAATTACAAACTTTCTAGTTAAATTTAAACAAATTTCACTCCTAACATGAATGTTTAATTAATTTTGAAAATAAGGAACTTAAATAATTTTTTCAAGTAAAAACAAAATAATAAAAAAATTATAAAATTAAAATTAAATTTTAATAAAATAAAATTAAGTAGTGGGTTGGTGGGCCCACCCGCGTGAGCCGGGTTTAAATGAACCGGGTTGAAATCTGACCCGCATAAAAAAGATACAATTTTTTCAAACTCAATCCGACTCAAATCCGTAGTGAGCCAGATTGGCCCGCGGGTTATGACCCATTTTAAGAGTTCTAATTGTACCCAAATAATACTAATAATAGATTACTACACTTTAATATACCCAACAACACCCATTATAGTATCCATTTTTCTTTACCAACAAGCTATTTTACCAATAACATAACAACTTTTATTATCCAGCAGTTTATTGCACCCAAATAATACTAACTTAATTTTAACTGCTTTTATTTCTATTTGACACACTCTTGCTTTGAAGTGTGCCTTTATACATAAAAAAATTATTAAAGTCATAGTTATGTAAGTCGAAATGGAATCCATTGTGTAGTAAATTTTATTTGGATCAATTGTTACAAATTATTGTATTTATTATTTGCTTTAGAGTTTAATAATTAAAATAAAATAAAGTTTTGAGATATTAAGGAGATATGTGAAAAGTATCAGTTTTTTATTTAGTTAGTTCTACATAAGGAAATCTCAGTACCGTTCCTACTTACCCGTGCACCACTTGTAGGCAACTCACGCTACTGTACACAATCCCAGTTAGGATAGAATCCAACCCAAAATCCAATTATGAGATTTGTCATTTTCCCTTTGAAGGAGTGGTTATGTTCATACTAAAAAAATAAGAAGATAAATTTTACGTGGCAACCCAAAGCTTCTTATCCCTACCAAACAATAATAGAAAAATGTTACTTTTAATTTTATACTTGATTTTTCTAAGATTATTTTATACTTTAAAATTATAATATTACATTATTAATGTTTCATGGACTTTAAAATTTTTAATATATATTATTATATTATTAAAGAAGTTGTTGACCACGTGTATAATTTTAGAGAGGGTATTATTACTATTCAATTTGAACAACCGTCTGCCCCGTCATATTTTATTGACTGTTTTCTTTTTTCGTATTTCCATTATTAGTTAAGCCTATAAATTGACATGCATGGCAATCAAAATGAGAGGCAACAACAATCAATAGCACAAGCAAAGCTTCAAGCATGGCTCTGTTGTATTTTGCTTTGCTCATTCTGCTCTTTCTTTTTTCTCTTAAGCTCTTGTTCCAAACAAGAAGATTTAGAAACCTTCCTCCAGGACCACTTTCTTACCCTATAATCGGAAACCTCCTCCAACTCAAACAGCCTTACCACCGCACATTCTCTCAGATGTCGCAAAAATACGGTCCGGTCTTCTCTCTCTGGTTCGGTTCCCGACTCGTTGTCGTCGTTTGTTCACAACCCGCGGTGCAAGAATGCTTCACCAAAAACGACATCGTGTTGGCGAACCGACCTCACTTTCTGTTCGGCAAATACATCAGCTACAATAACAGCACCATCCTTCACTCCTCCTACGGCGACCACTGGCGCCACCTCCGCCGCATCTTGTCGCTGGAGGTTGTTTCAGCGACCCGTTTAAACTCCTTCTACGAGGTTCGAAGGGACGAAATCATGAGGCTGGTGCAAAAGCTCGCTAAGCTCTCATCACACCAGTTCACGAAAGTGGATCTAAAAGCCATGTGAGTTTTCATGAAGTCAAACAAGCTTTTTTTTACGTAACATGGTTAAAGAGTCTTATATAGAAGTCGCCATAAAACAGCCCATTCTAAGAACTTGAGATTAAATATTTTTTATTTTGAAATAAATAAACTAAAATTATACATTAAATAAATATACTGTCTGCAAATGCCTTTCAACATTTTTGTATATATTTTTCTTTCTATAGTTTCTTCAGAAAGTGTAAAAATGTTATTCTTATAACACTGATTAATAAAAGAAACTGTTTTTATTACTAATATATTTTAAGTAAATGATATTGGTCATGATTGAAGTTATATTTTAAGTAAATGATATTGGTCATGATTGAAGTTTGCTGAAGTTACACAAATATTCTTTGGTGTTTTTAATACTTAGTAATCTCACTTGTAAATAATACACAATATAATTATTTCAAATACTTAAATGAGTTATTGTAATGTGAAAAATGTGTCCTGCTGAGTTATTTTAATGTGAAATTGTGTCTTTATAATGTTTCTCAACCATTGAAGGGTTCTCCATGCAAAGACAATAAAAGGAACTAAGGGAAAAAAATAAATAAGAAATTGTTATACGTAACTTAACAAAACATGTTTTATATTTTTTATAATTTCTAATGCTAATATCTTGTAATTAAGGTTTATGGAAACATCATTTAATACTATGATGAGAATCGTGTCTGGGAAAAGGCTCTTTGGTGATGATTGTGACGTGAACGATGTCGAGAAAGCAAAAGAATTCAAACAAATCATCAAAGAGTTAGTGATATTAGCAGGAGTCAATAATCGTGGAGATTTCTTGCCTTTCGTGAGATGGTTTGATTTTGATAATTTGGAGAAGAAGCTAAAAGGAATTGGTAAGAGAACCGATGCATTCTTACAAGAACTCATCGAAGAGCATCGTAATGGAAAGAACAATGGAAATACTATGATAGATCATCTTCTTGCTCAACAAAAATCACAACCTGAACAATACACCGATCAAATCATCAAAGGACTTTCTTTGGTAATTAACTATTTCTTTAACTATAACTTTTCTTATTTTTATGTGTTCTTGAAAGTGATAAAAAATATCATGATGGACATAATTACCTAAATAATTAATAGAAATATGTGAATGTACATTTTATATATAAAGATACATTTTCACTTAATCTAAAGTATAATTTCAAATGATAATGTGAATATTAAAACAACAACAAATATATTTACTCCAATAACAAATTTTTCGTCCATTATTTTTATATTCAAAACAAGAAAATAAATTTTTTGGTTATCTAGTAATTAATTTTAAAGAAACTAAGAAGGATTTTTTTCTCTTGTATTTGTGCATTGATATTTTTTTTATTGATTTTACAGAGCTTACTACTTGCTGGAACAGATACATCAGCTTTAACTTTAGAATGGGCAATGGCCAATTTATTGAACCATCCAGAAGTTATAAAGAAGGCAAAAAATGAAATAGACACTTATGTAGGACCTAATCGTCTTATAGAGGAATCCGACATGTCAAAACTTTCTTACATTCAATGTATTGTTTATGAGACACTTCGATTGCATCCTGCTGCTCCAATTTGGTCACCACATTTGTCTTCNTAACATAACAACTTTTATTATCCAGCAGTTTATTGCACCCAAATAATACTAACTTAATTTTAACTGCTTTTATTTCTATTTGACACACTCTTGCTTTGAAGTGTGCCTTTATACATAAAAAAATTATTAAAGTCATAGTTATGTAAGTCGAAATGGAATCCATTGTGTAGTAAATTTTATTTGGATCAATTGTTACAAATTATTGTATTTATTATTTGCTTTAGAGTTTAATAATTAAAATAAAATAAAGTTTTGAGATATTAAGGAGATATGTGAAAAGTATCAGTTTTTTATTTAGTTAGTTCTACATAAGGAAATCTCAGTACCGTTCCTACTTACCCGTGCACCACTTGTAGGCAACTCACGCTACTGTACACAATCCCAGTTAGGATAGAATCCAACCCAAAATCCAATTATGAGATTTGTCATTTTTCCTTTGAAAGAGTTGTATGTTCATACTAAGAAATAAGAATATAAATTTTACGTGGCAACCCAAAGCTTCTTATCCCTACCAAACAATAATAGAAAAATGTTACTTTTAATTTTATACTTGATTTTTCTAAGATTATTTTATACTTTAAAATTATAATATTACATTATTAATGTTTCATGGACTTTAAAATTTTTAATATATATTATTATATTATTAAAGAAGTTGTTGACCACGTGTATAATTTTAGAGAGGGTATTATTACTATTCAATTTGAACAACCGTCTGCCCCGTCATATTTTATTGACTGTTTTCTTTTTTCGTATTTCCATTATTAGTTAAGCCTATAAATTGACATGCATGGCAATCAAAATGAGAGGCAACAACAATCAATAGCACAAGCAAAGCTTCAAGCATGGCTCTGTTGTATTTTGCTTTGCTCATTCTGCTCTTTCTTTTTTCTCTTAAGCTCTTGTTCCAAACAAGAAGATTTAGAAACCTTCCTCCAGGACCACTTTCTTACCCTATAATCGGAAACCTCCTCCAACTCAAACAGCCTTACCACCGCACATTCTCTCAGATGTCGCAAAAATACGGTCCGGTCTTCTCTCTCTGGTTCGGTTCCCGACTCGTTGTCGTCGTTTGTTCACAACCCGCGGTGCAAGAATGCTTCACCAAAAACGACATCGTGTTGGCGAACCGACCTCACTTTCTGTTCGGCAAATACATCAGCTACAATAACAGCACCATCCTTCACTCCTCCTACGGCGACCACTGGCGCCACCTCCGCCGCATCTTGTCGCTGGAGGTTGTTTCAGCGACCCGTTTAAACTCCTTCTACGAGGTTCGAAGGGACGAAATCATGAGGCTGGTGCAAAAGCTCGCTAAGCTCTCATCACACCAGTTCACGAAAGTGGATCTAAAAGCCATGTGAGTTTTCATGAAGTCAAACAAGCTTTTTTTTACGTAACATGGTTAAAGAGTCTTATATAGAAGTCGGCATAAAACAGCCCATTCTAAGAACTTGAGATTAAATATTTTTTATTTTAAAATAAGTAAACTAAAATTATACATTAAATAAATATACTGTCTGCAAATGCCTTTTAACATTTTTGTATATATTTTTCTTTCTATAGTTTCTTCAGAAAGTGTAAAAATGTTATTCTTATAACACTGATTAATAAAAGAAACTGTTTTTATTACTAATATAATTTTAAGTAAATGATATTGGTCATGATTGAAGTTTGCTGAAGTTACACAAATATTCTTTGGTGTTTTTAATACTTAGTAATCTCACTTGTAAATAATACACAATATAATTATTTCAAATACTTAAATGAGTTATTGTAATGTGAAAAATGTGTCCTGCTGAGTTATTTTAATGTGAAATTGTGTCTTTATAATGTTTCTCAACCATTGAAGGGTTCTCCATGCAAAGACAATAAAAGGAACTAAGGGAAAAAAATAAATAAGAAATCGTTATACGTAACTAAACAAAACATGTTTTATATTTTTTATAATTTCTAATGCTAATATCTTGTAATTAAGGTTTATGGAAACATCATTTAATACTATGATGAGAATCGTGTCTGGGAAAAGGCTCTTTGGTGATGATTGTGACGTGAACGATGTCGAGAAAGCAAAAGAATTCAAACAAATCATCAAAGAGTTAGTGATATTAGCAGGAGTCAATAATCGTGGAGATTTCTTGCCTTTCGTGAGATGGTTTGATTTTGATAATTTGGAGAAGAAGCTAAAAGGAATTGGTAAGAGAACCGATGCATTCTTACAAGAACTCATCGAAGAGCATCGTAATGGAAAGAACAATGGAAATACTATGATAGATCATCTTCTTGCTCAACAAAAATCACAACCTGAACAATACACCGATCAAATCATCAAAGGACTTTCTTTGGTAATTAACTATTTCTTTAACTATAACTTTTCTTATTTTTATGTGTTCTTGAAAGTGATAAAAAATATCATGATGGACATAATTACCTAAATAATTAATAGAAATATGTGAATGTACATTTTATATATAAAGAAACATTTTCACTTAATCTAAAGTATAATTTCAAATGATAATGTGAATATTAAAACAACAACAAATATATTTACTCCAATAACAAATTTTTCGTCCATTATTTTTAGATTCAAAACAAGAAAATAAATTTTTTGGTTATCTAGTAATTAATTTTAAAGAAACTAAGAAGGATTTTTTTCTCTTGTATTTGTGCATTGATATTTTTTTATTGATTTTACAGAGCTTACTACTTGCTGGAACAGATACATCAGCTTTAACTTTAGAATGGGCAATGGCCAATTTATTGAACCATCCAGAAGTTATAAAGAAGGCAAAAAATGAAATAGACACTTATGTAGGACCTAATCGTCTTATAGAGGAATCCGACATGTCAAAACTTTCTTACATTCAATGTATTGTTTATGAGACACTTCGATTGCATCCTGCTGCTCCAATTTGGTCACCACATTTGTCTTCAGAAGATTGCGTCGTAGGAAAATATAATCTCCCAAAAGACACAATTGTGTTGGTGAATGCTTGGGCTGCTCATATGGATCCAGAAATGTGGAGTGACCCAACACACTTTAAGCCTGAAAGGTTTGAAAATGAAAATGAAGTAAACAGGTTACTTTCATTTGGGTTAGGACGGAGAGCTTGCCCTGGATCAAACTTGGCTCAACGCACAGTTGGTTTATCCATAGCCTTATTACTTCAATGTTTTGAGTGGAAACGAATTGGTAAGGAAGAAATTGATATGTCTGAAGCAAATGGAATTACTATTTCAAGAAAAAATTCATTGGAAGCTATGTGCCAACTTCATCAATCACCCGCAGTTAAGGATATGTACTGATTTATGATGTTATTTAAACAATAAATGTATTGTGTGGAAAATAAATGTATTGTGTGGAAAATAAATGTACTATGGAATTATGAAATATTATAATGCATGAAGAATAAATGTATCTTGAATTAAGACTATGTAATGATTATGTGATGGATTGAAAATAAATGTGTTTCCATGGTGATAAGTTATAACTTCTTATTTTATTTATGTTATCTAATAGTTGTTTTTATAAATATGTGATTATAATCTAAGGTTTCTTATAATAATAAAAATTATGATAATTAAAACAAATATTTTATAATTTTAATTTATTTTATTTTTTGATTATAAATTATTATGAATGTCATTTTATCAGTTAAATAGATTAATATATATATATATATATACATATTTTTTTATTGAATGAAATTTAATATATCTTATTTATTAATTTTTTATATATATGTTAGATATTAAAAGGACATATGATAGTGTAATCATTAAATATTACATACTTTTTTAGACATAATATTGTCATGTTAATTAACAATTTAATTTTATATATTTTCATTTTGGACATATAATGCTTTAAGATACTAGTTGAATAAATATTAATATAATTAAATAGTCCTGGCATAAGTAATTAATCATTGAGGTCTATTAATTTAAAGTAAGAAGTTTAAGATTTATGATAAAATTAAAATCTTAACTAATGAAGAACATGTAAGAGACTTCATAATGGGCCTTTAATATCCATGACTATGAGGATTTAAAAATAATAAGTATAGAAGAAAAAAATCTTTTACTTAGGAAGGTAGATTATTTGGACTTTTATTCTTGTATAAAAATCTATGTAGTTTTCGTATTTGTAGGAATTTATAGAGGAACAGGTGAGTTTTGATTGGGTCTTAATTTTTTCTCTATTTAGATGTTGTTTGAAAACTAAAGTACACTAAAATTTTAATAAACTCCAGTGAACACTAGAGAGGGAGGTAGAGTCCTACATATCACATGAAATAAGGTTACAATAGGCTAATTTGGATGCTCATTATAGTTAGGGGTGAAAATGTGAGTTGGGCTCGCTAACCCGATTAATCAAGTAGACAATATTAGATTTTTTAACAGTCATTCGATGTGGTCTAACCTCTTTAGCTCTCCAACCCGTGAATAATTAAACCTTGAGTTTTGGTTTGTCGTCAACACAAACAATGCACCACAAGCGAAAACAAAGCAATACGCAAGTGATCAATAATAACAGTGAATCCTAACATCCATCGCCCATATCGGCGATGCAATGACAAAGTTGTTGCAATCGATTAAGAGGTTTTATGACAGGTGCAAGAGTTCTTGGATTAAAGTCAATGCATAAATTGAGTCTTGGATGTTTGTGTCTATGCTTCTTTTATTAAATACTATTTCTTGAGCTAAGTGTATGTCTAATATAAATGTTTGCAAGTTATATGTATATGGTGTGGTATTAATTCTAGAACGTTGAAAACTATTTTTAGCTTAACCTTTTTTTTTGTGTTGGTTGCAATGTTCTCTTTTGCAATGATCATTGTTATGTCATGAGCAAATAAGATTGCAGATGACAATGAGACTGGGCAAGAAGGATGTGCATCATTAGTATGAGTCTTGAATAGTGGTTTTGTACATATATATTGTGTAGTGTGTAATTATAGTTCTTCTTTTAATTTTGAATTATACAAAAACTAACTTCTTTT